TGTTCTGAACTTTTGTTGCACGGCAAATACCAAGAAATTATTGGTATTTTACGTACGCAAAAAAATATTAAACAAACAGCACTAATACTTTAAATTAAATATACATTGATTGGGTATAGTTTAGCATGCAAACAACACAAGCTTCTGGAAAATGCTTCAATGTCCGTTAAATTATTGAAATAACTGAAATAGTCAAGACGATTCAACAAATCATGTTCTACTTAACATACTTTTGTAATATTACTAAATAATATTGTAAATAATATGCTTTACAAACACTTAAACGTACAGAACATGTAAACATAAAGAAGGTAGTACGCTAAGTAAACAGAATATACATGGGTATTTATACAGCAAATTGCCTATACAAATACAGGAAAGTTCATGATGTGATATACGAGGCACACAGAAGTTAATACAAAAAAAGGAGGACTTCTGTGTACCTCATACACAGGAATATATTTACCGTCAATATGTGTTATTTTCAAGACCGTAATTCAGAGTAATTCATGAATTCAGAGTAATTAATGAATTCGGAGCAATTCATGAATTCGAGTAATTAATGAATTCGGAGTAATTCATGAATTACTCCGAATTCATGAATATTTATCATGACTGCGCAGGAGAAGAGGAAGTTCTTTTCCAAGCCAATAAATAAATTATTGATGTATTAATATTAATAATATTATTAATGATAATATTATTAATATTAATAATATTAATAACTTTGTTACAAATTCACAGTGTCAAGAAGCAATTTGTTCCTTCACTACTTAACATTACAAAACAATTCAGAAGTTAATTACTGACATTTTAATTAATGATGTCTTATAATAGCAACGTGTCTAACGTGTCAATAAGACGTTGATAACATGACTATAACACGTTGCTAACGTGTTGATAACATGATTATAGCACGTTGCTAACGTGTTGATAACATGACTATAGCACGTTGCTAACGTGTTGATAACATGACTATAGCCGTTGCTAACGTGTTGATAACATGATTATAACACGTTGCTAACGTGTTGATAACATGATTATAGCACGTTGATAACGTGTTGATAACATGATTATAACACGTTGATAACATGACTATAACACGTTGATAACATGATTATAACACGTTGATAACATGACTATAACACGTTGATAACATGATTATAACACAGTGTTGCAACACGTTGATAACATGTTGACAACACGTTGATAGTCACTTGTAAAATGGAATGTTCAGAATCAAATCAAGTTTTCATACATTTGTTCGATGTTTAATTAATTTAATTAATTAAGTTTGATTAATTAAATTTAATTATTTAATTAGATTTAATTAATTAATTATAATTACAAGCCGTAAGGTGATACAGGAATACGGAAGTATTACAATTGTTTAACTATCATTATTTCAATACGTCAAAATTACAATGACTCAACCGTCATTATTTATTCAGATTTGCGTATTTTGTAAAGCAGAAAAGTGCTTGAGTTCAAATACACTTCAATATGCACATACACTGTTAGAAAAATTACCGTTAACGGTATTACAGGCATTTACCGTTAACGGTATTACCGGCATTTACCGTTAACGGTATTACCGGCATTTACCGTTAACGGTATTACCGGCGTTTCAGTGGCCGGTCGGCACGTGAAAAGAAACACCGTGTCGCCGTTTTTATTCTAATTTAACACCAGAAATCCGTAAAACATCTGATAAAAAAGGCGAAACAGTTTATTTTAACGGGGCGACCGGCCAGTGGGACCGTTTTTTTACCGTTTTTTCGCCGTTTTTTATAACAGTGTAAGAAAGCTGTCATCATATGTATACCCATTTCGTATTTGATTGGGTATCTTTATCCCATTGGGTATCTTTATCCCATTGGGTATCTTTATCCCATTGGGTATCTTTATCAAATAGCTATTGGTTATCTCTTTATCTTCCATGCAATAATTTTTAGCTAGACTATTAACAGCTCCGTAGCCTATTGAAGTTACGGTATTCAATGGACGATGAAGGCATAGTTCAACGTCTATAGGTGGAATTGACTGGTGGAAAACATCATGATAATGATTGGTGGAAAACATCATTCAACATGTAGATAATAAAAAAAACTACCTACATTCTACATGAAAAAACTCGGAAAATCAATAATTCAAAACGCACTAGATTCCTACAATTTGGGCGATTTTTGATTTACCTAACGACTGAAACATATAAGTATAATAGAAAATATTGCCTGAATAATGGCAAACATAAATTAATATCCGAAACAGTTTTTAGTGCAGCTTCACGAATGTTCTTAATCAACATCATTAGGATATTTATCAACATTATACAGAAATGTGGTTAATTGGGTTAAGAATCATTCAAAATTGCCTGTGCTTAACATGACAAATTTTAAATTTAACATTCAGGTTGCGAATGTTTAATTCAACATCATAAAAAAAATGAAAAAAAATTCAATAAAAAAAAATAGGTTGAAAAAATTCAATAGATTTAACAATGAATGACAAAGATTTCAGGAACAAGAGTCACGAAAAAAATTAGATTCGAAAACCCATAATAAAAATAATTAGTATAAATGATTACAATCGTGACAAAAGAATTTTTTCAGGAACGCGTAGCTATAATATATCTGATTTTATCTATTATTGAAAGTGAATAGCAACATCAGCATTTCATACAAGCATATAGCCCTGAGATGAGGAATGAATTGTTAATTAATTAGATTTAATTAATTAATCAAGTTTGATTAATTAATCAAGTTTGATTAATTAATCAAGTTTGATTAATTAATCAAGTTTGATTAATTAATTACGTTTGATTAATTAAGGTTTAATTAATTAATTATGTTTTATTAATTAAGGTTTAATTAATTAATTAATTAAAGTTTAATTAATTGATCAGGTTTAATTTATTAATTAGATTTAATTAATTGATTGAGTTTAATTAAGTGATTAAGTTTAATTAATTAATTAGGTTTTAATTACTTAATTAAGCTTAATTAATGTATTAAATTCAATTAATTAAGTTTTAATTAATTAATTAAGTTTCATTAATCTATTAAATTCAATCAATTAATTAGTTTAATTAATGAAGTTTAATTAATGATTAATCAAGTTCAATCGTTAATTGTTCACGGAACACACGTCTCACATCTGAACTTTAACCGAAGTCGTCTATGTCTTCCATTTAATTAAACTAAAGTTTATAATTCTTCCAATTAATTAAACTAAAATTTATAATTGGTCTAAACTTTCAATACATAAATATTCATACTAATTACATCATACCCACGGGATGGGGATGATCTTGGGGAAAATACTTCGCCTTGAGCCCCATTAGTAATGAAACTATTTTAGTTCTCAAACATTTTTTGCGAATTCTTTTTCAATTAAGTAAAGAAATTACAGATCAAAATTGCTCGAGCCCCGTTATGAATGAAACTATTTCAATTATCAAACATTTTTTTCAAATTCTTTTTCGAGTAAGTAAAGAAATTACAGAACAGAATTGCTCCACTTATTTTTCCCTGTGCATTTTCCTCAGGGATTTGTTAGTGAAGAGAATCTATGGCCACATAATAATATAATGTATAGAATTTACAAAACATTTATTACGAATTTTTTCTTCACTTTAACATGGCGTGAAATAAACAAAAGAACGTTTGAGTTTGTATACCCATGAATTTGTACACAAGATGTGTACCCATGAACACACAGGTTCGTATAGTACACTCAAACAAATGAAGACAAGAAACATGTTTTCGATATTACAGGCGTTACAATTTGAAAATATTCTAACACTGTTGAACTATTCTTCTGTTGAAAATATTCTTCTAATATCGGTTCCGATAACTAATAACTAAACAATGAATGAATCTTGTACAATAAAGTAACATTGATAAATGTTTGCTCAAGTTACTCATGCTCAATATAAATTCACATGGATACGTATTTTATTTCAATCCTTTAAATTATTATTTCTCTATTTCAATCTTGTAATATGTAGTCGCAAGCATATTTTTTTTATATGTAGTCGCAAGCAGTGTATGTATGAAACATTGTTATAATCCCAATATTATAATATTTTTACAGAGCTTGACAAAGTTCCTAAGTTCCGTAATGTCGATAACGTGAACACACATAGTTTTTTGAGCGTAGTTTAATTATTAGCTGCCATCATTCAAAATAAATATCGTTCATGATGGTCATGGTTACATCAACGGTATCTTACACTCGTTGTTCAATTTGCGATACAATTTTGGATTTTCCGTACAAATTTCTGGATATTAATGCCTAATTTTTTCTCTCTTTCCTACGTAGAATTTCAATTTCCCCCCATTTTTTAATCATATGTGTATAACTTCATGGGTTATATATTAGTGTAATTTCTGTATGTTATTTCAACTGCATTTTTGCAACAGACGATAACGAGAAATAGATGAATATGATTCCGTGTAACGTCAGTCATCTGGGCATCAGAATCTTTAGGAAGCTTGTAATAATTACGACATGGTAATCTTTTATAAAAAAATTGTCTTCTAATTAATTTAATAGTTTTCATTTTAGCCTCTGGTCGATGCAGGAATTATCAAATCTCTCTCTAAATTGGACTGATTTCCACCCAAAATATGACAAATTTCCACCATAAATTGAACCAATTTCCACCCAAAAGCGAACCAATTTCCACCCAAACGTGAACCCTATTTTCACCCAAAAGTAACCCAATTTCCTTCGAAAAGTGAACCTATTTCCACCCTAAATTGTAGCCAATTATCAATTTAACTTTCACTTTCCATTTTTATGTTGACCCAAAACAAGCGTTCGGAAATTCCAATTTTCATTTTAGTCACTCGGGACACTTGACCTCATCAGGGACACTTGACCTCATCAGGGACACTTGACCTCATCAGGGACACTTGACCTCATCAGGGACACTTGACCTCATCAGGGACACTTGACCTATCAGGGACACTTGACCTCATCAGGGACACTTGACCTCATGAGTCACTAGGGTCATCCCTGTCACTAGTAGAGTACCAATGAGATGCAGTGGAAGCATAGGCGTCACTAGCGCAGGTCTGATAGCCACTAGATCCAGTCTCACTGTCACTACTGATATGGCGCTCGTCGGGGACGTGGAGTGTGCTAGGGACATGGCCGGCTAAAGTGACACCACCACTAGCAGCACTAGTGGATGTGGGGACACTAGTTGATGTAGTAACTCTAGATGTGGTGATACTAGTAGATGTAGGTACCGTAGAGGTGGTGACACTAGTTGATGTAGTAACTCTAGATGTGGTGACACTAATAGCAGCTAATGCATCACACGAAACAGCACTAACATGAAGATCATCAACGAAAGTATCAACACAAGCAGCACTATCATTGGCAAAAGCAGTCGCAGCAACCACAGTAGCACCACTATCATCAACAGAAGCAGCACTAGCATCAACATCAGCATCAACATTGGCATCACCAGACAGGTTATGCCAAACACCCGATAAAAGATTAGCCTGAGCAGCGGAAACATGGGGTGGAATATCAGCTTGCACAGCGGAAACATCGGGTGGAATATCAGCTTGCACAGCGGAAACATCGGGTGGAATATCAGCTTGCACAGCGGAAACATCGGGTGGAATATCAGCTTGCGCAGCGGAAACATTGGGTGGAATATCGGTCTGCGCAGCAGAAACAGCGGGTGGAATATCAGCTTGCGCAGTGGAAACATTGGGTGAAAAATCAGCTTGTGCAGCAGAAACATCAGTTGGAATATCAGCATGAGCAGCCAAAACATTGGGTGGAAAATCAGCCAGCGCAGCAGTGACACCGGGTGGAATTTCAGCTTGCGCAGCAGAAACATTGGGTGGAATTTCAGCTTGCGCAGCAGAAACATTTAGTGGAATATCAGCTTTTGTGGCGGAAACATCAGGTGGAATATCAGCTTGCGCAGCGGAAACTTTGGGTGGAATATTAGCTTGCGCAGCGGAAACATAGGGTAGAATATCAGCTTGCGCAGCGGAAACTTTGGGTGGAATATCAGACTGCCTAGCGGAAACTTTGGGTGAAATATCAGCAGGTGTAGAGAATGAAGATGAAAAAGGATCCCTGAAGCAGACTGAAGCAGAAGTGCTTGTGAAGCAGAGATGTGGGAAAACTCTGGGTATTGAGACAACCGTTGACCGAGATGCTTCAGTGGGAAGCAACATTTTCCAAGCGGAGGAGGAAGTAAAGAGAAGGCTGGGATTTGTACGATTGGATGGCAGGACTGTAGTACATCTTGCTGGGACAGGGTAACAGGGACGGCTGAGGGACCTGGGAAAGATGGGAGTCCTGGGACAGATGGGTGTCCTGGGACAGATGGGTGTCCTGAGACAGATGGGTGTCCTGGGACAGATGGGTGTCCTGGGAAAGATGGGGGTCCTGGGAAAGATGGGTGTCCTAGGAAAGCTGGAGTTACTAGGACAGCTAGCTGTGTTTGGACATTTGGGAGACCAAGGAAAGTTGAAGGTCTTGCAAGGCATGACAGACATGGTTCCTCTTGCAGCTACAAGATTCCTTGGAGAGCTAGGAGTACTGGGATCTAGGGCACGTCTGGCTGCTCCTGCAGAGACATGATGGCTGGGAGGCACAGCGGAGCAGGGCACGAGTGTCCGCTAAGAGGCGCCTGTTCCGTAGCGCAGCCGTAAGACAGCATCAGCATCACAGATGTACTTCCCTGCAATAGTGATAATCATTAAAACAACACTACATACTAACTACTAATGGTAGGTAATTTCTAACATTAATAGTATAGGTACTTTGATACGCGTGTGATATCGTATTCATTACAATACCGGCATTAATGGCGAGCATAATAATGGCATTAATGGCAGGTAATTTCTAACATCAATAGTATACTTTGATACGCGTGTGAAATCATATCCATTACAATAATGGCACCAATGGTGAGCATAATTATGGCAATAAGGGCAGGGACTTTCAAATATGACAATAACGACACTAATGGTATATACGGTACTTCCTAAAACTGTATGTATTTTTGTAAATAACTATTTTGTTGATGTTAAGTACAAGAAGCTCACCTGAGACGAATCTTTTCTTTACGAGTGACAGTCTGTACCCCGACCCGTTGAGTACAAAGTCCATACCTGAGTGAACAATATAGGTCAAGTTGAGTGCCTGAGTGAACAATATTGGTTAAGTTGAGTACCTGAGTGAACAATATTGGTTAAGTTGAGTAGAATATTTATTATTAATTATAATACAATGATAATTAATAATAATTATTAATAATTAATAATAATTATTAGCACACTTCCAGTACGAGACCAGCTGCAGGGGCGTGCTGGACGCGCCCCGTAGGCTGGATACCTGTCAATATGTTTAATATTAATTATAATACAACGATAATTAATAATGATAATCAACAATAATGGTTAATGACGCTTAATAATAAATAACAATAATGATTAATTATATCAATTGCGTGCAGGCATGTGGCGTCACGCAGGCTAGACACCTGCCAACATATTCATTATTAATCATATTAATTTAATGATAATTAGTAATGATGACACACCATTAATGATTAATGATATTAATTATGTGCGTGCAGGAGACGCCGCGCTAACTTGACAACTATACCAATATTGATTTATAATAATGATATACCTGATACTTGATGATTGATGCGTGATGATATCGACTTGATACTTGATGATACTTGATGATATCGACCCGATACTTGATACGTGATGATATCGACCTGATACTTAATGATAAGCAATGATATCAACCTGATACTTGACAATAAGTGATATCGACCTGATACTTGATGATAAGTGATGATATGGACCTGATACTTGATGATAAGTGATGATATCGACCTGATACTTGATGATAAGTGATGATATGGACCTGNATAGGTTAAGTTAAGTGAACAATATGGGTTAAGTTGAGTGAACAATATGGGTTAAGTTGAGTGCCTGAGTTAACAATATGGGTTAAGTTGAGTGAACAATATGGGTTAAGTTGAGTGCCTGAGTTAACAATATGGGTTAAGGTGAGTGAACAATATGGGTTAAGTTGAATGATGGACAGACCGGTGATGGTGGCCGCCTCGCAGGTGAACATGGCGGACACGGTGGACGGGGTGGACGGACCGACGGACACCTCGAACTTTGCTCTCAGAGAGCCTGAGAGCGAGGCGCTCTTATTTGAGAGCTCGGGTAGCTTCCAGACCGCCTTCTGCTGCTCCTTAACCCTGCCGGGGCAAGGAACATTGTTAATTATTTATTAATTAACAAGTAATTAAGCAATTATTTCTACCCAGACAACAGTTAATTATATCTTACTTAATGAGTAATTAAGCAATAATTTCTACCCAGACAACTGTTAATTATTTATTAATTAATAAGTAATTAAGCAATAATTTCTACCCAGACAACTGTTAATTATTTATTAATTAATAAGTAATTAAGCAATTATTTCTACCAGACAACAGGTAATTATTTATTACTTAATGAGTAATTAAGCAATCATTCCTACCTTAACAACAGGTAATTATTCATTAGTTTAATGTCCAGATTATTAATTAAAGGCAGTACATAATACAATATATTACCATTATACATTAGATTAACATACCGTAATATAAAATATTAAGAGACATAAAATAAGTAAACAATAGTAATTATACTCACCATTGTCCCTGAGGTTTACTATGCATAGTTTTAACCACCCCGTCGACTACAGCAGAGAGGGTAACGTTAAGTAAGGGTTGAGGTGAGGGTAGAGCGGCCGAGGGGTTGTATACATTAACAAAATACAAAATATTAAGAGACATTAAATCAGTAAACAATATTAATTATCCTTACCATTGTCCCTGAGGTTTACTATGCATAGTTTTAACGACCCCGTCCACTACAGCAGAGAGGGTAACGTTAAGTAAGGGTTGAGGTGAGGGTAGAGCGGCCGAGGGGTTGTAGCGGTAGTCTACCCTCAACTCGGTGACGTCATCACCACACTTCCAGTACGAGACCAGCTGTAGGGGCGTGCTGGACGCGCCCCGCAGGCTGGATACCTGTCAGAATATTTATTATTAATTATAATACAATGATAATTAATAATAATTATTAATAATTAATAATAATTATTAGCACACTTCCAGTACGAGACCAGCTGTAGGGGCGTGCTGGACGCGCCCCGCAGGCTGGATACCTGTCAGAATATTTATTATTAATTATAATACAATGATAATTAATAATAATTATTAATAATTAATAATAATTATTAGCACACTTCCAGTACGAGACCAGCTGTAGGGGCGTGCTGGACGCGCCCCGCAGGCTGGATACCTGTCAGAATATTTATTATTAATTATAATACAATGATAATTAATAATAATTATTAATAATTAATAATAATTATTAGCACACTTCCAGTACGAGACCAGCTGTAGGGGCGTGCTGGACGCGCCCCGCAGGCTGGATACCTGTCAGAATATTTATTATTAATTATAATACAATGATAATTAATAATAATTATTAATAATTAATAATAATTATTAGCACACTTCCAGTACGAGACCAGCTGTAGGGGCGTGCTGGACGCGCCCCGCAGGCTGGATACCTGTCAGAATATTTATTATTAATTATAATACAATGATAATTAATAATAATTATTAATAATTAATAATAATTATTAGCACACTTCCAGTACGAGACCAGCTGTAGGGGCGTGCTGGACGCGCCCCGCAGGCTGGATACCTGTCAGAATATTTATTATTAATTATAATACAATGATAATTAATAATAATTATTAATAATTAATAATAATTATTAGCACACTTCCAGTACGAGACCAGNCAATATGGGTTAAGTTGAGTGAACAATATGGGTTAAGTTGAGTGCCTGAGTTAACAATATGGGTTAAGGTGAGTGAACAATATGGGTTAAGTTGAATGATGGACAGACCGGTGATGGTGGCCGCCTCGCAGGTGAACATGGCGGACACGGTGGACGGGGTGGACGGACCGACGGACACCTCGAACTTTGCTCTCAGAGAGCCTGAGAGCGAGGCGCTCTTATTTGAGAGCTCGGGTAGCTTCCAGACCGCCTTCTGCTGCTCCTTAACCCTGCCGGGGCAAGGAACATTGTTAATTATTTATTAATTAACAAGTAATTAAGCAATTATTTCTACCCAGACAACAGTTAATTATATCTTACTTAATGAGTAATTAAGCAATAATTTCTACCCAGACAACTGTTAATTATTTATTAATTAATAAGTAATTAAGCAATAATTTCTACCCAGACAACTGTTAATTATTTATTAATTAATAAGTAATTAAGCAATTATTTCTACCAAGACAACTGTTAATTATTTATTAATTAATAAGTAATTAAGCAATTATTTCTACCCCTGTCTCTTATACACATCTAGATGTGTATAAGAGACAGATATCGACCTGATACTTGATGATAAGTGATGATATCGACCTGATACTTGATGAAAAGTGATGATATCGACCTCATACGTGATGATAAGTGATTATATCGACCTGATACTTGATGATACGTGATGATATCGACCTGATACTTGATGATAATTGATGATATCGACCTGATACTTGATGAAAAGTGATGATATCGACCTGATACTTGATGATAAGTGATGATATGGACCTGATACTTGATGATATCGACGTTGAAGTATGAAGCCGTGGGGTTGCTCTCGGCCTGCCTCTTCAGCAGCGCCGTCAGCGCCGGCATCAGGAAGTTGTACGAGTGCTCCTCCAGCGAGCACCTGAGGGTGATTATTGGGGGTGATTATAACCTCTCAATGAGCTGGGTGATTATAACCTCTCAATAAGCTGGGTGATTATAACCTCTCAATAAACTGGGTGTTGGTGAGGGTGATTATAACCTCTCAATAAGCTGGATAATGAGGAGGGTGATTATAACCTCTCAATGAGCTGGGTGATTATAACCTCTCAATAAGCTGGGTGATTATAACCTCTCCATAAGCTGGGTATTGGGGAGGATGGTGTCACACAGGGAGGTGTTGGGGAGGGTGATTATAACCTCTCAATAAGCTGGGTGTTGGGGAGGATGATTATAACCTCTCAATAAGCTGGGTGTTGGGGATGATGGTGTCACACAGGGAGGTGTTGGTGAGGGTGAAGGAGAGCGGGGACGCGGGCTGGGGACGCGACGTCAGCACCGACACAATCCCCGCGGGGAAGCTCACCATCACCTCCCCAGTCACCTTCACCTGGCACCTGCACACAATCATTATCATTATTAAGGTTACAGCTGCACATAATGATTATCATTGTTAATTTTATTAATGCTGCACCTGTACATAATGATTATCATTGTTAATGTTATTAATGCTGCACCTGTACATAATGATTGTCATTGTTAATGTTATTAATGCTACAGCTGCACACAATCATTATCATTGTTATTGCTACAGCTGTACATAATGATTATCATTGTTAATGTTAGCACACAAACAATAATGTATACAATGTACAATAATAAACATTAATAATAATGACTCACAATGTTTACCTACGAACAATAAATTACAAGGCCGCAGACATAAAAATATAAATAAAAAAAAATAAAAAAATGCAGGTTACACAAGAAAAACATTCAGTGCATTTTTCGAAAAATAATTCATTCATCTGTATGAATATTCATTATTTACTTTTTTTTATATAATTACTATTAATATTGAGGCATTCATTGTACCCACCCTGCCCTCATGACCCACCCTGCCCTCATGACCCACCTTACCCTCATGACCCACCCTGCCCTCATGACCCACCTTACCCTCATGACCCACCTTACCCTCATGACCCACCTTACCCTCATGACCCACCTTACCCTCATGACCCACCTTACCCTCATGACCCACCTTACCCTCTTGACCCACCTTACCCTCATGACCCACCTTACCCTCTTGACCCACCTTACCCTCGTGACCCACCTTACCTTCTGACCCATTTTACCCTCTGACCTACTTTACCCTCTTGACCCACCTTACCCTCATGACCCACCTTACCCTCTTGACCCACCTTACCCTCGTGACCCACCTTACCTTCTGACCCATTTTACCCTCTGACCTACTTTACCCTCTTGACCCACCTTACCCCCATGACCCACCTTACCCTCATGACCCACCTTACCTTCTGACCCATTTTACCCTCTGACCTACCTTACCCTCTTGACCCACTTTACCCTTATGACCCACCTTGCCCTCATGACCCACTTTACCCTCATGACCCACCTTGACTCATCAGTCCCCCGGAAGTACACATGGCACAGCTCCTGGAAGGCTATGGCGAGGGGGATGGCGTCCGAGTACCCCAGGGTGAGGGGGGACGGCCCCCTGCTGCCCCCCACCCCCACACCCCCACTGGGGGGGGACCGCCAGTCTAAGCTGGACGCTGACTCAGCGCGACTCAGAGCAGAGGAAGACAGCTGAGTCAGCGCCGGGCTCTGACTCCCTCCCCTCTGGCGAGGGGAAAGGTGAGTGTTAGGTATAATATAAATTATTTTTTCTTATGTGTTATGTAATTATTATTATTTATTATTTATGCTCCATTTAGCTGCAGCTCATTAATTTAGAGATTATGTAGTGCAAAATGCCCATATGGCAACACTTGCTAGAATAAGCAATTTACGGACACGTATCTCTGCCGGTTACTTTTACTCTGTCCGCGACCTGGGCCTATACTTTCAAAAAAAGTTAAGAGATCATAAGATATCAGCCAATCATTGACGGCCTTTCAAGCAAAATCCACCAATCATAGTCAAGAAAATAGAGCGTAAGTACTTACGTTCACTTAATCATAGAAAAGAAAATAGAGCGTAAGTACTTACGTTCACTTAGCGAGTTTAGAAATTATGGCCCCATGGGTCACTTTACCTGTTCAGAAGCCATACTTTCAAAACTCGCTAAGTGAACGTAAGTACTTACGCTCTATTTTCTTGTCTATGATTAAGTGAACGTAAGTACTTATGCTCTATTTTCTTGTCTATGATTAAGTGAACGTAAGTACTTACGCTCTATTTTCTTGTCTATGATTAAGTGAACGTAAGTACTTACGCTCTATTTTCTTGTCTATGATTAAGTGA